ATGGGTACATTCTTCTAAATCACAAAAAAAAAAAAAAAAAAAGAAAAAAAAAAAAGAAAGATATTAGGCTTAATAACATTAGTAAATTTCTTCAATTAAACTTGATATGGATACATTTTAAAATCAAAGAAAAAAGAATGTACCCATATACGTTTAAAAATGGATTAGAAAAAAATTGAACAGATTTTATATATAAAAAAAAGGAGGTACATTTTACATATAACAAATTGGTATATTTAAGAATGAGTACATTTTAAGATTAAAAAGTTTTACATGAATGGGTACATTTAGCAAAATAAAAAGTACAAATAAAAACAATATATATGGGTAAAAATACAAATAAACTTTAAAAAAGATGGGCACAAAAAGAAATTAATATATGGGTACAAATTAAAAGTGAAAATAAAATTGGTACAAGTTAAAAAAGAATTACAAATTAAAAATGGGTACAAACTAAAACTAAAAATATATGATAAAAAATTTAGTCATAAATATAAATATACTAATTGTAACATTTTTAACATTAAATGAATGTATTTAGAAATAAAAAAATATTTTATTATTGAAATAATTAATGATGTTATTAATACCCAAGGACCTTTATCAAAATTTGAAAAGGAATAAGATTTTAATCAATGAAGTAGCAAAAAGAAGGATGAGAATCTAATTTTCCCTTATATTTATCACTCAATTGCAGTTAACTATTTTGTGTACTAATATCCCAAGATCAATTTCTAGACATGTTTAGAATTCGAGCTCGAAATCAGGCTTGAGTTTATGTTGGATCTAGGCAGGCAAGACGTCAATCCAACAGAATAAGATGACAATGACGAGGTGGATATGTACTTAATACCTAATTGTCCGGTCAGGTTAAAAGTCGGATTAGGTTGAAACGGGTTTGAGAAAGTAAAGATAAAAGAACAAGAAGCTAACAACTAATACATATAATGAAAAGTATTTTACTTAGTGTACTACGGTTTAGTGATATTACTCTTAATTTGTAAATAAAAAGTCTTAATTTCGAATATCATAGATGTCGAGTTAGGTACTAATTTTCCAGGAAATCCCCCCAATCCAAAAAGTTGCTTTCCTACTCGATTTTCCATTTTTTAAGGTTAAATTGGATTTATGGGTAACTTATAATTATATTATTTATACATTTCATAGACTTAACCTTTTTCATACCTAACTTTTTTTCTATGTTCTCCCCCTTTCTCTCGGAATTGGCTATATACCCGTTATATGGTTAAGCTATATTCCTTTTTTGGTTGTCGGAAAGGAAAAACTAGCCGATGAACACACTAGTATATATATAAGCTTTAATATTGATCTCAACAAAACCACCTTTAATTTCCTTGGCTACGTACTTTGCGTTGGACGTCTTCAATTGCCTCCGTGCGTTTGTTTGTTGTGTAGCAGTGTACGTTTTAGCCGATTTTAGTCATCAAGATGGATTTATCCTCGGTGAAGCCGATCAATACCAAAAGCGAAGAAAAATCGGAAGAAGCAAGTTCAACTACACCCACAGCTAAAGAGGCTAGACTAATGCGACCAGAGAATGTGCGATGCCCGCCTGCCCCAAAAAAGTCCCGACCTTCTAAAGCAGCATATATTAATGGAATCGGTTTTCCTCCGGTAGTTGGTTTGGAGAAAACTTTCAACAACTGCTAAGAGAACAAAGTAGTAAAGATTAATGCAGAGATTAGGAGTCTTAACTTGTTTTGTTTTGCATTTTAAATAATTACTAGGTATCCTTCCATGGATAGATGCTACTTTTATCTTTTCTGTAATCGTTTGCTGAGAGAAGCTTATAGTAATGAATAAAGATTTATGTAATCGGTTTCATACATTCTGTATCTAATATCTATATATATGTGAGTGGGTGTGTAGCTTTACTGGATGTTTCCTTTCAGATCCGGCCTTGAGATTTCAAGGCCTTGTGCGAAAGTGAATTGGAGACCCTAAAAAGTATTAAGAATTTAATTTTTTTTTGTTCAAAAAAATAATTTTAGTTTTTAATTGAGCTTCTATAAATTCTAATAGTACAAACAAATTTAACAAATCAACAAGTGGAAAGGTAGCGTATTGCTTTTTCTTAACTATTTAGAGGGTTAGGGTTCAAATTTTTATATTATTGTGTGGAATTTTTATATTATTTTGTGGAAGCATATGCATTTAATAAAAATAAATTGAAAAAAATGATGAAGATGAGTTTCGAACCCATCCCCTAGGCTAATGTAAAGAACCAATAATAACACTTGTGCTAAGACTCAAGTTTATAATAATCTACACATGCAGCTATATATACGCATATGTATGCAAAATTGAAAAATCGGGGGCCCTTCCGTTTTGGGGGTCCTGTGCGGTGGCACCACTTGCTCACCCTCAGGACCGGCCTTGTTTCTTTTGCTGTTTAATTATTTTTGCTTGTGTACTTATAATTTGGAATAGAATGTGAGGATTAAATAGTAGCAGCTTGTTGCTATGCAAAGGAAGTTGAGGTTTATTGTAAAATTAATTGGCAATATTAGAAGTAACCTAACTTACTTATATGCTAATGCAAGGTCCTTTCGCTTATCAATGTGTGATTCATCTCAACACGCCCCCGTCACGTGTGACAAATTTTCAAGCCAAACACATGGACAACACAACCGGGGTTACGTGGAGCACGTGTGGCTTCACACACGGGACAACCTGCTTTGATACCATAAAAGAAGTTGAGGTCCACTATAAACCAATTAGCAATATTAGGAGTAACCAACTTACTTATAAGCTCATGTGAGTTCTCTCCCACTAGTGTGGGATTCATCTCATACTATGTTTGTAATCATGCTTCTAATTAATTATTAAATTGGGTGTGTTCATCAAACTAAAAAGTGCATATGGAGTTTGATAGGTATTTTATCACCTGCAAAAGTAGGGATAAAAACACTTAAAAATACTTGCAAAAGTACAAGGTTATCGTAGTATAGCAGCTCAAGTAAGGTCGTTCCACATGGATTGAATGAATAATTTATGTTAAAACAAAATCTTAATTAATTATTTGAAAACTAAGTTTGGGAAAAGATGATTTAATGACGTAAAATATTAAAAACAAATTTAATTAAAAACAATTAAATAAATTGAGAAAGTAAAGAAAACAAAAGAAAATAGTTTTGAAAATAATTTTGAGCACTAGAATTCCGCCGTCACCTTAATAATCCTACGTAGTTCTTCCAATTACTTATGAATTACACATGCATATTTTGAAGGTTAGGTTTTCCTAAAGTATGCCCTACTTGGAACCTCCAACATAGAACGTATATCTATCATGCAACCCGTTTGTGGCATCCACATCGAATGTGAACATGCAAGACTCATTAAGTTTTGTGAAACCCTTTTGAAAAACCATATAACCCTTAAGACGTGTCGTCCATCCTAAGAAGTTACACATATTAACCACAAGAAGCCATTACCAATTCCAGGGACAACCCTCTGCCAAAATTACATCAAATTACTTTTCTAAATATCTTAATGGTGGCCAATCATCAAGACAATTAGATTATCTAAAGCACAATGATTAATAATTCAAAACTTGCATGCATAATATTAAGCAAATTGAAAAGAAACTACATATTCTTACTAAGACTTGTGGCCTCGCCCTAGCATACGAAAATAGTTACGAATAATCATAAAACAAAATATTATTAAAAACATGGATAGAAAACACCTTGAAAATAAACTTGGATCGTCAAAAGCACTCTAAAGCCAAAATATTGCGTTCTCCTCTCCCCTCCTTAACCTAATGGTTAAAAAGCCTTATTTAAACTACTACAAAATAAAATTCTTCCTAGAAAAGGTCTTAGAATAAAACTAGGAAACATAATAAAATAATAAAATAAAAAATAAAAGGTTTCCTATTTGAACTAGAATTCGGAGTTCTCAGAAAATTAGACTTTTGACCGACTAAATCAACTCCGATTTGGTCCCAAACACCTCTTTTGAAAGCTGAAGACATCCCCTACAAATCCTCAGAAGAAATCTTCCTCAAAATATGCTATCTTGACTTAAAAAATACCCAAAACGTCAAAAAATGTCAATCTGGGAAAGCTGCGCGCTGGGCCTTTATTTCTTCACCACGGTCAAACGGCTTGGTAGAAAAATCTGGATTTTGACACTATCATCTTGAAAGGCACACGAACATTCTCCAATTGGAATCACTCTAAAATTCATCCGTTTGATCACTTTTTGCTCCAGAGGAAGTCGAATGTCCTATATTGAAAATATATAACAAAATATCAAAATTTTACCAAAATAACCAATAAAAATACTAAGTTTAAGGTAAAATATATGATATAATATGGACTCATCAGAGTTTACACTGCAAGTCTGCAAGTCAAGATAGAGAGGCGAATGATGTGTGAAAAATGCAGTGATGTAAGAATAAGGCCATGGGGAAAATTTGCAGAGACAATACACGATTCGACGAGGCAATAAGTTTAAACTTGTTTGTACCATACTTAGGGCCTTCGTATTTAGATCTCGTATAAATACCCGGGGGACTCAAATGTAATTATGTAATAAATGAAGGGGCAAATATGTAATAAGTGAGGAGCTCTTATTCTATAAAAGGACCCCTCACTCTCCTCATTAAGGGAGGCCAATTCTTAGGCCATGGGAAAGAGCTCTCTCACCCTTAGAAGCTCTCACCCTCTCATCCTCTCATCCTCTCACAAACAGAGAAATACAATATCAGTGTGGACGTAGCCCAAACATTGGGGTGAACCACGATACATTGGGGTGAAACCTCACCACTGTCCACCGTGGATCTGCAAAACCAAGAGACGCTCAACTCTCCCCCCCTCAAGTCAATCTCAATTAAACAAAACCATTTTCAAGTCTGACACCACACTGCGAAGAAAGTCAGTGGGGAAGAAAGAGAAACTACAGAAAGAAAGAAGAAAGCAGAACTACAACAACTGCAGAAGAAGGCAAAAGGAATAATGGCTTTAGTTTCAGCAATGGCGTGGTCGCCGTACCTTTCCACTCGAGCCTCCACACCCTGTGCTTCTCTCACATTCCTCATCGGCTCTACAACAAGGAAAAGCTTCGTGTCTCTCAGCGGTGGCGCCGCCGCGCGTTCCCCGTTTCTTCATTGCTCCTTCATCTCTTCCTCCTCTATCGCTTCCACTTCCGCCTTCTCATGTTTATCTTTAGGTTTAGATTTGAGCTCTAGTGTTAGGATTGGAAGAAGAAGAGGCTCTGGCTTAGTGGTGAGGGCCGGGAAGGTTGCCCTATGTCTAACCAAGAGAAGTAAGTCCAGGAAATCCTTGGCTCGAACTCATGGATTCTATAGGCGCATGAGAACAACTGGAGGGAAAGCAATGATGAAGCACCGATATGCTAAGGGGCTGAAGGTCCTCTACACGAAGAGCAATCCCAGCAGTGGAAAACAGCCAGCACCGCCGATCCAATAGCCACCTTAGATGCCAGCAGCTCATCCGGCCGCATTATCACCGGAATGAAAGACCCTCTGCCAATCTTGCATCTCAAACACCCTTCAAAACCCCAACCTAGATCATCTCTCCAAGCTCCGAAAATCTCTCTGCCTAGCCCCCTCGAACAGTGTAGAAACGCAGCTCGGAGCAGTCTCCAAGCTTTGGCGAGATCATACCTGAGAGCAAGGCGATATAGATTGCGACTGCTTTCGAATAGCTCAGAGAGAGAGAGAGGTGCAGTGGAAAGTGAAAAGAAAAAGAAAAAAAGAAAAAAAAAAGAAAAAAAAGAGAAAAAAGCAGAAAGCATGGCTACCCACTGAGATAATTGCAGAAAGCAGAAAAAAGGAGAAAAAACAGAAAGCATGGCTGCCCATTAAGTGCAGCAGAGAAAAGAAAAAAGAAAGAAGATAAAGAAAAAGCAGACGATGTGATGGCATAATTATGGGCGTAACCCATTGAGCAAGCCCTGCCCCCCGCAAGCACATGCTATCCCACTATCCAACCATCTGCCATACCCACTTCTGCAGCAGCTTTTTTAGTGATGTGATGTGATTTATTTATTTATTTATTTTTTTATCTTTTGCAGACATCTGTATAAACCCACCAGAGGGTAATCATAAAGAAAGAAAGAATGCAGCATGCCAAAAAAAAAAGGGCTGGAATGTTGTGTGGAGGGCGAAGACCCATATGCCAAAAAAGAGCCAGACCCTCTATTATCACCAACCAGGTGATCAAAAGTACGTTCAGTACTACAAAAAATTATTCGGCAACCTGCCGCTATTATCACCAACCAGGTGATCAAAAGTATGTCTAGTACTCCAAATTTATTCGGCACCCTGCCGCTATTATCACCAACTAGGTGATCAAAAGTACGCCCAGTACTCCAAAATTATTTGGCAGCCTGCAGCTATTATCACCAACCAGGTGATCAAAAGTACGTCTAGTACTCCAAAATTATACATGAGCATCACTTATGTCAATCATACATAAACATTCATGAACATCACTCATGTCAATCATACATAAACATTCATGACCATCATTCATGTCAACATTCATGAGCATCACTCATGTCAACATCCATGAGCATCACTCATGTCAATCAACATAAACATTCATGAACATCACTCATGTCAATTAGCTTCAAAAACTTTATTTACAGAGCTCCAGCTTCGAGAGCTCCAGCTTCAAAAGCTTCATTTACAAAGCTCCAGCTTCAAAGCTTTACTTGCAAAGCTTCAGTGCAGGGTATACAAATATCGCCTCCGAATAACCTCCATTTCGACCCATACATGGATTCAATTTGAAGTCTTCAGTCAACAGACCCTATTGACTGAAGACTTGGGGGACTACATTATGTACCATATATTGGGCCTCATGAAAAATACTTGGGGGACTTAGCTCATTATTTATGTATTGAGGAGCGAGCCCTTATTCTATAAAAGGGGCTTCCTCAATTTCATTAGAGAGCACCCATTCTTCATGTACTGAGGAGCGAGCCCTTATTTTATAAAAAGGACTCCCTCACCATCATTAGAGAGCATCGCCGTCAGTTGAGCAACCACCTTGCCGCGAGCATCACTCTTAACCCATCACTTATGTATTGAGGAGCGATCCCTTATTCTATAAAAGGGACTCCCTCACTTTCATTAGAGAGCACCCATTCTTCATCTACTGAGGATCGAGCCCTTATTTTATAAAAGGGACTCCCTCACCATTGATGCGAAATATATAAGCACACAAATTAAACCCTCTTTTTATCAATTGTAGTAAAGTATGTAAGTATGGATCGTTTTAGGCCGGGGATTAGGAGGGATTTCTAAATCACTTGGAAACTGACTTGAAAACGTAAAAATAAAGTTTAAAACACTAACTAGACTCAAAGAATGCAAAACTATACTTTAAAATACTAAAACAAACCAAAAGACTCAAAACAGCCCCTAAACACTCAAAACTACTACCTTAAAACACACAATCTGGGCAGTTTTGGGACTCTAACACAAACTTGGACGAATTTTGGTTTTCTAATGAACTAAAACACTTAAAAACATAATCTAAGACAAGTTCTAATTAATATGACTCAAAGAAATAAGATGAGGTTGATTTTGGACGAAAATAATTAAATTAAGACAAGAACAAAGTAAACAAATTCTTAGACAAATTTAAGTGAATCAAAACAGATTGTAAAATGAATTTGAATGAAACTTATGGATGGAAGGCTAGCTAGGAGGTTCTTCTCCACACATGTCACACTTGCATACAAAACGATTTCCAGTTGCTTTTCGATAAGCTATGAATACTCAACGCCCCAAATTAACCGTGAATTGCACTAATTAACCCTCAGTTTTTCCACAAGTTATTGGGTTGGATGATTGCATACGACAACCCAAAACATTCCCTACAAGTTCCCTACATGAATTGCATAAATAGAGATACAAGCAAGAATCATTAAGTTCTATGAAAAACATAAGCATTGACGAGGCACTCGTTACTATGATTTGCATGAAACTTATGCCAAGAATTTACTTAACGTGATTGTGACTAGCAACCTTCACTACTTGTGAATATAAGTTCATAACGATTAGGTGAAAACTCCCTTATATTCTAGCGTTAAATTCATGCATGAAAATTAAGCGTGCACTCTCAACCAACATACACAAATCATTTTTTATACGATCGGATAAGTAAATTGAATTCACAACTTATGAATCACAACTGGATGTAATCAAATCATATTGCAAGTATGAACATGGTTTCGAATCACCCCCTAACTAAGAGGGATTTAGTTCTTCATACTCACAAAGCAAAGATACATAAAATTAGACATTAAAATCAAAGGAAAGAAAACACCTAAAATGCTCCAACTTGGGTAGCAAATGCATCCAAGAATTCTCCTTTGCTTGCTTGCGGCAGATTGCTTTGTGGACGGATTTTTGGGTAGTTTTATGATGTAGAATGGATGGGGAATGGTATGGAAAAGGTTTAGGGTAAGTGTGGAGAGGAGTGTTTGAGGGTTGGAGGGTGGTGGAGAACTAGGCAAAGAGGGTGGAAGAAGGTGGAGTGGCTGTTATGTTTTCTAGGCACTAGAATGGTGTTTTTGGGGTGTTTTTGCTACCTAGAGGTTGTATGGATGAATTTTCTGTGATGAATGATGAATATGAGAGTGTGAACCCTTTGCCAAGGGGTGTAAACATGTATATATAGGCCCCAAAAACCTTAGAGAATCAGGTTAGGCTAGGGAGAATGCACGGCAAAGAGTGTATGTGGTGTGCGCAATGGTCCAAGGGTGAAAATGAAGTGATGATGCAAAGTGTGAAGGGTAAAATGGAGTGGTCTTGTAGCTAGGGAGCATGAATGATTGTGTACATTGCATAGAGATGGAAAGGGAGGTGAAAATGTGTCAATAAATGGGTCAAAGGTGCAGCAACATGTGGTACACAAGGCATGGGATTCCAAATGTGAATGATGGAGCATCAATTGGTGCATGTTATGGTTGTGAAAGTTGTATAAAATTTTGTGGGTGAAGGGAACAAGAGGTATCAAGCAATTAAGTGTAATAATTAAATGAATTGAAGCATGAAATCAGAAATTATGTAGGGGACAAGAGTGATCAAGCATGGCATGGGAATCCAAAGGGAATTCTATGTTGTTTTGCATGGCAATGAAGGCAAGTTGGGGTGACAAATTTTTGGGCTGAGTTCTTCATCTTTTGGACCATAATTCTTCACATTCTTGGCCTCTTTAGTTCTCAAATTCATCCATCCACTTTGGCCCAAATATGTGACATGCATTCCAAGCTCCATTTTGCTCCAAAATGCTCCAAAATGCATCTTCTTGCCTACTTTGTCCATAAAATCTGAAAACACACGAAAATGACTTTAAACATTAAAATAACTAAGGAAACACGACATAAATGCACAAGAACAAGCCAACTAAGTCGCATAAATATGCTCATATCAACCATCATTAGAGAGCATCGCCGCCAGCTAAGCAACCGCCTCGCCGCGAGCATCACTCTTAACCCATCACTTATGTATTAAGGAGCGAGCCCTTATTCTATAAAAGGGACTCCCTCACTTTCATTAGAGAGCACCCATTCTTCATGTACTGAGGAGTGAGCCCTTATTCTATAAAAGAGATGCCCTCACCATCATTAGAGAGCATCAACTCTAGCCCATCATTCATGTATTGAGGAGCGAGCCCCTATTCTATAAAAGGGACTTCCTCACCTTCAACGCCACAAGTCGAGCCAACCAAGGCAACATAAGCCACAAATCGATCAGCCTCGTAACATATGCTACTTCTAGTTGAGCATCATTTCAGATTGAGCACCGCCTCATATCGAGTATCAGTTCAATACGACATCTAGTTACTTCGGCCCACACATGGACTGAATTTCAAGTTTCCAGCCAAAAGACTCGCTTGACTGAAGACTTGGGGGACTACTGTTTGTACCATACTTAGGGCCTCTGTATTTAGATCTCGTATAAATACCTGGGGGACTCAAATGTAATTATGTAATAAATGAAGGGGCAAATATGTAATAAGTGAGGAGCCCTTATTCTATAAAAGGATCCCTCACTCTCCTCATTAAGGGAGGCCAATTCTTAGGCCATGGGAAAGAGCTCTCTCACCCTCAGAAGCTCCCACCTTTTCATCCTCTCACAAACAGAGAAATACAATATCAGTGTGGACATAGCCCAAACATTGGGGTGAACCACGATACATCTTGTATTTATTACTTTCTTGCAGATTCACGGTTGGATTTATGTTGTTCCAAGACCCTTCCGGTTTTGTGCATCAACAAAACTGAATGAGGATAATAATTACAAATTGATGGTTGACGAGATTTGTTCATAAGCAAGAAAGGGTGGAAGAAGATGAATGTTTGGTTGTGAAGATGGCCAGGGTTAGAGAATATTTTACTTGACACGTGTAGCAATTTTAGTGGGCCACATAGGCGGTTAGTGAGATAAATATGCTGACCGATGAGTACCCAACTTTTGGGTTTTATGTAGAAGCTTGAATACATAAAGTTTATTTTATTTTATTTATTTATTTTTTATTTTTTGACAAATAGTGGTAGTGGATTAAATTGTTAGTTATTAAAAGAAGGAGGATTGATGTGAATTACATCCGCACCAGAGTGCATAGACAAATTACTTTCCACTACTACGATAACACGTACCCTACCATGGATCAAATATATATATATATATATATTTTTTTTTTTGGGGTAAATTACAAAAAACTACCTCAACTATGGATCAAATGACAATCTCATACCTCATGTTTGAAAAATGACAATGTCATACCTCATCTTACGAATTCGTTTCAATGTCATACCTCCGTCAATTTTTCTGTTAAGTTTGACCGTTAAATTATGAGTTAACAGGCGTGAGACCCACATCCTTACCCAATTAAATTAAAAAATTAATTAAATACTAATAAATATATTTCAACAAAAAAAAAAATATAGAAAATCATTTAAAAAATTTATTAAGAAATTGTGGGACCTACCCCCATCCCCAACCTTTTTCCCTACTCCATCCGTCCCCTACCTTTTCCCTACCCCTCATTTTTTTCCTTTGTAATTCTCCCTCGCAGCCCCCAACAACAAAACCCACCGCCAGTGTCTCTTCCTGGTCCTCGGGAAAACTCTCTTCCTCACTCACTCACTCACTCTCTTCCTCTCCTGGTCCACGGAACTCCCAATTCACCCATTGCCATTCCCGTTGTCGCCACTCTCTCTTCCTTTTTTGAAAACCCGCCTTCAGCACAAGATGGGCCCAACAGTTCTACTCGAATGCCTATTAGCCTCTAGCAGAGAATGTACCAGTCGACGGTGACAAATGTGATGTGGGAAGCGAGGTTGTAGCTACATCTGGTCGCCACGGTCACCATCCAATCTTCCCACTGACTTGAGTTCTGCTGGACCCTCCTTAGTTACACCGTCTCCTCTTGGGTCCATGACAGTGGCTGGAGCTTCTTATCGGAGGCTGTGGGCGACGGTAATGGTGGTGTAGACATTGTTGTGGGGGTGATTGGGGCTAACAATTTGAAACTTAGGGTTAGGGTTTGGGGGAATTGGGGTTTTCTGTTTGAAATTGGCATGGAGATTTGAAATTTAGGGTTAGGGTTTGGGGGGAATTGGAATTTTTTGTTTGAAATTGGGGAATTAGGGTTAGGTTTTGTTGTCGGGGGCTGCGGGGGAGAATTGCAGAGGTAAAAAAGAGAGGGGTAGGGAAAAGGTAGGGGACATATGGGGTAGGGAAAAGGTGTGTGATAAGGGTGGGTCCCACAATTTCTTAATAATTTTTAAATGATTTTCTATATATTTTTTTGTTGTAATATATTTATTAGTATTTAATTAAAATTTTAATTTAGTTGGATAAGGATGTGGGTTCCATGCCTGCCAACTCACAATTTAACGGTCAAACTTAATAGAAAAACTAACGGAGGTATGACATTGAAATGAATTCGTAAGATGAGGTATGACATTGTCATTTTTCAAACATGAGGTATGAGATTGTCATTCGATCCATAGTTGAGGTAGTTTTTTGTAATTTAACCTTTTATTTTTATTTTTATCAAAAGTGGCCTTATATTTGAATGCCACTCTTTTAGACATGCATAAGTAGAAATAACCCGTTACAAACACAAAAATGTATAAACATTTTTCTTACCCATAATATTGAGAATATTACCGTAAGAAATGAGCCAAGTCACTTGTTGAGGAATGGTTGCATTCATCTCTCAAAAAGATTTTGAGAAAATATTACGTGTAACCGGTTTTATATTCTATGTAGCTTTCTCATCGTGATCATTTAGATAAGTAGTCAAGTGATGAAAAGATAGACAATTGCTGTATCCAATTTTTTTTTCGTGCCTTAATTAATCTTTTCATAGCACCTGAAATTCCCTTATGAGAAGATGAATCCGAGCACCTGAAATTCCCTGAAGTGAAGGTTACTTCATGTTCTTCAATATTCTTTCTTGGAATATTGAATCTTGTAATGATTCATACATTTGTACTATACGTTACTAATTAGGCACTTGTGGATTTTGAATCATCAGCGGGATAATAGTATCTGTTGAAAAGCCAATGGGAATCAGCTTCTACGGCATATCCATCTTCGTTGCGGTGCCAGCTAAAGTGAGCATGGGTTCTGTTCTTGATGTCAAAGATGCCGTGACCAAAACTGGCTTCCCGGAAGACTGAGTAATCTGGTTGTGGCTCCGTCATACTGCACCGCGAAAGAAAGCAAGAAAACACATATGCTAAGTCTTTCTGAGTATTTTGAAAAGTTGTCAAGCCCTTGATAGTAATTGATTAGTAAAAAATATTCATACGTTAGTATGCAATTCTAATAAGAAAATACTGAATCTATTCGTGTATGTTGATGTTCTTACACGGTCGATAAGCCTTCAAGATTTCCTCCATCACCAACAGTAATGTAGACGGGTGCAGATTGATCTTTTACAGGAGTGCAATTAGCATTCACAATGTCATATGCAACATTGGAGATGCGTTCCTGCGATATAACCGATCACTAGTCAAATAAAGACATCAAAAATTGATGAAGGATGTCCTGCAGAGAGAATCTTATTAATACACACACACACACACACACACACACACACACACATATATATATATATATATATATGTTGTACATACACTGGGCACTTACAGATCGCTCGTAGGCATGGACATGACCGCTAAATACCACATCGACTTTGTACTCCACAAACCAGGCCTCAAACATCACCCTCATGGCTTCCCCTTCCATATAGTGCGACTGGTAGCTATTATACCATGGACAATGCATTATAACAATCAACCAAGGGGTCTCACTCCTGTTAACTTTCGGTAGCTCCTCCTGGAGCCATTTGTACTGCGGAGTGTATGTACCTTAAGAAAAAAAAGGAAATGATAATATGTCACATTAAGCAGTAGAACCATTCAATTAAACGAAAACATTGTGCAGGATGACCTGACCACCAATTCAGAAATAGTATGTATTCTGTCTAGAAAACGAAATACACACACACACACACAGAGACACCTATATTTTATTCCCTTACCGTATGCAGAATAAGAACCCAAGACTATAACGTATGCCGAAGCTCTTTTGATTGAGTACCAAAATGGGGCAGTACTCCCCGATGCATTATACGGGACATAATACCGGTGAGTGTAAGGCTTAAAAGGTATTGGTTCACCCTGCAACAAAAGTACCAAGCTACTTTTAGCAAAATACTTGATCCCATTTGGAAAAATATACATTTGCGAAATAAGCAGCAATTCCAGTATAATTTTGTAAACACAATGGGATCATAGTCGAGGAAGATTCTATATTCCTAGTCCATTAACTATATCATACAGGGTGGTTAAATTTTTAGCTTACAATTTCTGGGGCAAAATCAATTTCATGATTCCCTGCAGTCCATATCCAAGGTTGATAAGCAGCACTTCTCTCGACGAATCTTCCCCACGTATCCCACCTAACATTATTATGATTCGGGTAGTCATCTGCATAGGAGAGGTCCCCAAGATACAATATTGTTTGTCCTTTCAGCAGGTTTGATTCGTAATGAGTAAGAGTCTTGTTTGAATCAAAGGTCTGACCCAGATCCCCTGCAAATAAAACCCCAATGAATAAGGCCAAAAACAAAAATGCATACTGTTTCAATTAGAAACTTGTGCACCAAGGAACGAGTTTCAAAAGATTTAAACTAGTAAAACTTTCCAACCCACTGAACAGGATTAACTTATCTTTGAATCAGAAAGCCAAAAGTTAAAGCAAGTCTAATTAGTTGCATCACGTTACGATGCATCCATTTCTGGTATGACATCCTCACCTATGAGACCAAATGTGTAAGGTACGTCGGGCCCAACTTCAGGAGGAGTTGTAAACCAGAACTGCGTCTCAGTTTCGCCAATTCCAACCACATAGTAATATCTGGTGTTGAACTGCATAACAATTTAGATGATTGGAACGTACTATTATCTATAAACTTGTACTTAGGCTACATGCGTAATTTCAGTCAGCAAATTCCAAAACTCTCGGATCAATTCCAGAAACTATGCAATTGAAATGAATAAAAAATGAGGCAAAACATAAAGCAGAGGAAACGTACCGTCAAGTTTCCGATGATACAATGGTGAATGTAACCAGAAGTGTAATTGTAAAAGGTATAAGTTGTAATTATGCCCTCAGCCGTCTGGTTCTCGCTATTTGCACTCCAGTAAACCACCTTACTGTAACCTGGTTCGTCGGCAGTGATCCATGACACAATCACCGCGCTTCCCGTATGGTCTCCTTGTGTTATATGAACCTTTACTCAGCACAAACATCAAGTAAACTAAATATAAAAAAGAAACGTTCGAAACTACACAAATTAGTCAATCCCATCAAGAAAAGAAGCAAGACTATGTAGTAAGCAATAAGTTTCTGAAATCAAAACTATAAAAAAACAGTAACGGGTCTTGTAAATATGGTTCCATACAATTCAAAAGAATGTAAACGATCAAAACAAAAGACAGAACTGCATTAACAATGTATCGTAATTCTAGAGAGAGAGAGAGAGAGAGAGAGAGAGAGAGAGAGAGAGATAGAGAGATTATACTTGTTGAGGTGCATTGTACCCAAGAGGGACTCGAAAGACGTCACTGTCAAGCGGCATGTCCGCGCTGAAATCAATTTTCCGCACGAAAGCGCTTGTTTGACCTCCATTACAAACCACTGCCAAGTTCAAAACCAAACCCAAGACTACAAAAATGGCTACCCTTGAACAAGTAGAAGAATCTAAGCTCCCCACACCCATCTCGGTCATATTATCCACAGCACTCCATTTGCTCTGAACCCTCATCCTCCTTAAATATACATGAAACCGTTTAATAAAATTAAACAAAAAAAATTCTGTAATTTGTCATACTGTGAGGTATTTGAATGAAATGAGAGTTGGGTTGGCCTGGATTTTGTCTTAGGTGAGTTCTTTGTTGGTGATGTTGTGATGTTTTAGTTCTTGAGCAGATTCTTATGTTTGTCTTCCATTTTTCTTTAGCTTTGTCTGTTTAGGCTTTAGTCGTAAACTCGATGAGTCTATGCTATGAACTTTGGTTTCCCCGTTGCCTTTGTTTTGCCGATGTGCGATAAATACTGTTTTGTGTTGGTGCAGTTTTGTTTTCCCACGTGTCGTATTATAATATTGAGGAGAGGATGCTGGGTAGACCTGGCATTCGTGTCGTGTTTCCTGTGTTCATGTCGTTTTCGTGTCATACCCGATACTTTAACAGGTCGTGTCGTGTAACACCGGTTAAAATAAATGGGTAATATTGAGGAGAGGATGTTGGGGGAAGAGATCCTCTCCGGATCTCTCCTACTAAAGCCCACCAATCAATTAATTCAGGCTCTTGAAATTTGATCTAACGATTACAAATAGGGAGTCCTTTAAAAAGTTAAAATAATTTTAGCCGTTGGATCAAATTTCAAGGGTCCGAATTAATTGATTGGTGGGATTTGGTGGGAAAGATCAGGAGAGGATCTCTTCTCGATGTTGGACATTACACCCCTAATCCGGATAGTGTGAGAGGGGATAGATTTTTATATTGTGCATTTGTTTTTACCATCTTAAATAGTGGTAATACTCACCACTCTATTATTATTAGTGCATGTGTTTGAATTTTGAGATTTGTCTATTCACAAGATGGATCTCAAAATTTAAACTCATTTAAGAGTGATAAAATAAAGTATTTTGTATCAACATCACTTGAGGTTGAGAGTGGTTGGCAAAAATATTCTATTTTTGTGGGAGGGATGAGACTAAAAGTGGACCATGTAAGCATGACAAATCAAGAGAGATGAGGTAGCAAGTATTAACTTCACTAAGATCTTTGAACAAATGTAAAGATCTGAGATGAAAAACTAGAAGGCAATAAGAGAGAGTACGTGTTGAGATAGAATGATTGTATATTTCCAAATGCCATAAATGGCAATTTACACTTCGTTTTTATAGAGCTAAATCACGTGCTCAATTACAACAATGCTGTCTAACTTCTTTGGTTATTGCCACAACAACTTCTAACAAACTTATCCTTATAACAACCTTAACTGCCTACACATTACAACTAACCACACTTCTCAACTAATCACATTCTCCACTCTTAAGTAACCATGTCATCACTAATGACTATGGTTAATACTCTCCCCCCTCATGCTAAGCCGTTAGAGCTTAGATTGACAGCAAGACATCTTCAAGAACACTAAGTCCCTGATGTATTTGTAGACTGCTGAGGAAGAACTCCAATGTTGAGATTGTTGCAGTGTTTAAGAAAGACTGGACTATGAAGACCCTTTGTGAATACATCAGCTACTTGTTTTTCAATGAGAATGTATTGCACAATAATATCCCTTTTTTTTGTACTTTCTCTCGAACAAAATGGCAGTCTGCGTCTAGGTGTTTAATTTTTGAGTGAAACACCAGATTAGAACACAAGGCTAATGCTGACAAATTATCACATTGTAATCGAGGTGGTATGGGAATAAATTGGTTCAAATCTTTTAGTAATGAACAGATCCAAAACCCATTAGCTGCATAGTGAGCCAAAGCTTTATACTTAGCTTTTGTGGAACTTTGAGACATTGTGGATTGCTTCTTAGACTGCCATGAGATTGGATTAGAACCAATATAAACCATATAACCAGTGATAGACCTCCTGGTGTTAATTTTGCTGCCCAATTAGAGTCTGAATAGGCTGAAATGGTAGAGTCAACTGATTTTGTATACCTCAAACCATAATGTATGGTTCCTTGCAAATATCTCAAAATCCGTTTAACCAAATGCATATGTAACTCAAATGACTTTGTCATGTATTGGCAAACAACATTGACAACATGAGTTATATATGGTCTTGTAAATGTAAGGTATTGAAGTGCACCTACTAAGCTTCTGTAATGAGTTGGATCTTCATCAGGAATTCCTTTAGAAACAAGTATTTGAGAGTGAGGCTTTGATGGAGTTGAAGTGGGTTTACATGACTCCATGCCTGCTTTCCTTAGCAACTTCTTTGTGTACTTCGATTGATTAACAAATATAGATCCATCTGATTGATATTGAAGTTGAAGTCCTAAGAAATATGTCAATTGTCCCATGTCTTTTAAATCAAAGACCTCTGCAAGTTGGGAAATGGTAGATTGTATCTTTGCAGGATTTGAACCAGACAATATTATGTCATCCACATATAATAACATGATAATCACATCTCCATCATCTTCTTTTAGAAATATACTAGTATCAGACATTGAGGTTTTAAAGCCCATGGAAGGCAGAAAGTTAGTAAACTTCGAATTCCAGGCTCTTGGAGCCTGTTTGAGATTATATAGAGATTTAATTAACCTGCAAACATGTGTTGGATGCTTGGAATTCACAAAACCTTGTGGTTGTTTCATGTAGACCTCATTCTCAAGTTCCCCATGCAGAAATGCATTCTTGATGTCTACTTGTCTCATACTCCAATTATTTTGAACTACCAATGCAAGTATTAATCTCACTGTAGTGTGTCGAACTACTTGACTGAATGTTTCAGAGTAGTCTAGAACTTGTTCTTGATTGTAGCCTTGTGCCACCAACCTTGCCTTATACCTTGCAACTATCCCATTAGGATTTCTTTTGACTTTGTACACCCATTTACTCCCAATGACAGTTTTATTTGTTGGAGAGGGAACTAATCTCCAAGTTCTTTGAGCTATCAATGCATCGAATTCCTCTTGTATGGCATTTTGCCATTGTACTATTGTGGATGCTGCTTTAAAATGTTTAGGTTCTTCAACCTAACCTCAGTTATATCAGCAATGAATGAGAATCCTTCACACATGTAATCAAATTCTGATGATACACTAGGATCTTGAAATTGTAATGATTGTAACTCTGGTAAAGCAGCAACAAAGGATGAATAGTTTTGTCTTTGAATAGCTCATGTCTTTAGTCAAGTTTGGATGCCATGATCTAAATATTGAGCAGTGTTGTGAGTGTCAGGTGTAGAAGAAATAGGGAGTATTACTTGGAATTGTGCAGGATCAAGGACATGAAGCAAAAAAGGCGTATCAGATGAAGAGGAAAGAGTATTGCCTATTGTAGATGATGAGCCATGCACTTGACTACTGATATCTTGATTTTCTATGTTTGTAGAAGCATTGGAATTGATAGAAATATTGGAAGACCCCTCATATTGTAAAGAAATGTTCCCAGATTGACTTAGAGAAGAAGCTGAATGGAGATGACCATTTTGATTTGCTGCATTTTTATGATGTAAAACTTGTGTTGGAATTGAAAATGGAACAACAACTAATCTAACCAAATGAGATGATGTAAATGAATCCATAGCTTGCTGAGAGATGTTATGTTGTGAGTCTTGAATATAAGGAAATACCATTTCATCAAAAAGTACATGCCTTGAAACAATGCATTTCCTTGTTTTGGGATTGTAACAGATAACACCCTTATTACCCATTGAATATCTCAAGAAAATACATCTCTTAGATCTTGGTTGTAGTTTATTGTTGTTATACGGTCTTAACCATGGATACACAACAGTACCAAATATTCTTATAGACTTCAAATATGATTGCTTGGTATACAATCTTTTGTAGGGGGTTCTAGTGCCAAAGACTTACATGTCATCCTATTGATAAAAAACACTAAATGTGCACATGCATAATACCAAAATTCAGCAGGTAAACCAGCAACAATAAGCCAAGTGATAACAGTTTTAACAACATGCCTATGTTTCCTTTCTACCAATCCATTTTGTTGTGGAGTATAATGACAAGAGATTATATATTCAATCCCTTTTGAATAAAGAAAAGATTTAAATGCAAGACTAATGTATTCTCCTCCTCCATCAGTTTGCAAACATTTAATTACAATTCCAAATTGAGTGAACAAAATTATAGAACCTTAAAACAAAGCAATTGTATCAAATTTGTTTCACAATGGAAAAATCCACACATACTTTGTATATTCATCAACAAACGTTACATAGTATCTATACCCTTCAATAGATTTTACAGGAGATGGTCCCCAAATATGTGAGTGAACCTTGTAAAATGGCAGAGAACATTTATCACTTCTAACAAAAAAAAGGAATCCTTGACATCTTGCCTTTTACACAATGAGTACACATATTATGAGTACTATCTAATCTATACTTATATTAGACTGTTTTAACTTTACGAACTGTTCTAAAAAGCTGAATTCTGCATTGTGGATTGCACTCCTCTTGATCATTTCACAACTGGTATTTGAAACAACTCCCTAGGCTTATTGTTTCCTTGATACAAAACCTCATTTGTCTTCTTGTCCTACACAAAAAACTCACTTTCATCACAAATAAATCAACTATGGTTATCAACACATAATTGTAGTACAGAAAGAAGACTCCTTGCAATTTTAGGAACATGTAACACATTCTTAAGGATCAATTCATGAGAATTGTGTTTGAGTGTAGCTGAAGCAATATTGTCAATGGTTAGACCTATGCCATTGCCAATTGTGATTTTCTTATAACCTTCAAATGGAGTGACTTGATTGAGTGCATTCATATCAGCAGTGAGATGGTGAGAAGCTTCAGTGTCAACAATCTAGGAATCTTGTTGAATATATTGAGGTGTTTGTTGTGCTGCCATAGCATTCAATGTTGCAGGTGGAAGTGGACCTTGAAACGCATAATTTGCCCTGTGAAAATACTCTAGTGCAGAATGTCCTATTTTTCCACAAATCTGACATTCTAGCAATATACCTGTGGTTGGTGTATTTGAATTTTGATGGAAGCAATTG